CCACACTCAAGCATAAAGCTAAGTAAACACAACTTTGATGTGTTAAGATGGATTGCAGCCAACTTCGAACAGTCCTTCACAGTTTTTACTTGGTTTCTCACACATGATCTCATTTGATCCTTGCAACAACCTTGAGATACTTTAATCACAAATCATTGTTCTCCAAATGTCACAACAGAGGAAACCGAGTCTCAGAGAAGTTAACATGATTTTCCAGAGATTACTCTTTTAAGCAGCGAAGTCTATATTTAGAACTGAGTTTTGACTCCAGACCCATTCTCCTTTTTTTTATGTCTTGCTGCCTTCAACTAAATCTGTAAACCATTACATGTGGGACAAACTTTCGAAACAACAAACACTTTGCTGGGTTTTGAAAAGCTCTGTAGCAGGCGCACAGAACACTGAAGTCTGGCAACCTCAATAAAAGAGCAGATCAATGCAGGGCCAGAGCATTCCACAACTAAAATCTAGTGTGTCCCCTCTTGAATGTGGCCTGACTAGTTGTTAAGCTTCTCAGTTGATTTGTTCCGTTTATACCATGTAATTATTTGGGTAACCAAAAATCCTTGGACATCAAGTAAATGCTGATCACCTAGATTCTACAATTAACATTCTATTATACTTGTTTTGCCCCATATCAACTGTCTGGACACCCTTCTATCCAGCTAGCCTTCTGTATTATTTTTCTGAAGCTGCAGCTATCAGTAAATTTTACACCTAAATTGCTCGGCAAGCATCTCATTAATTATCATAATTGCTGACAGCTCTTATTTTTTAAATACAATTTGCATATAATCAAATATATAGATCTTAAGTGTACCATTCAGTAAGTTTTGCCAAATATATAGATTCATGTAACTCAAACCTCTGTCTAGATATGGACTATTATCCTCGCCCTGGAAAGTTCCTTCTCTTTAGGCCCCTTCCCAAATTTCCTCCTCACTATTATTCTAATAGTGATCACTGACGATTAGTTTTATCTCTTCTAGAACTTCAAATAAACGAAATCATACAGTATTTACTCTTTTGTGTAAGGATTTTCTCACTCAAGATCATATGTTTGTGATTCATTCGTGTTGTTTTGTGTATCAAGAGTTTACTCCTTTGAATCGTTGAGCATTTCTCTATTGTAAGAATATATTAGTTTCTTTTTCCACTGTCGTCTTGGCAGACACCTGGGCTATTTGCAGTTTTTAGGCATTCTAAATAAAATTACTATGAACAGTCTTATAGAGCTCTTTTTGTGAATACGTTTTCCTTTCTTTTGTTAAATACCTAGAGATGGATTGCCAGGTCACAAGTAGGTGTATGTTTAGTTTCATAAGAAACTTCCTTAACCCTTTTCGAAGCAATTGTACTGTTTTAACTCACATCAACAATGTATGGAGAGTCTCTGTTGCTTTACATCATCAGCAACATTTGCCATCTTTAGTCTTTTCTAATTTTAGCCATTCTGGTGGGTGTTTATCATATTACTTTTTGAATTACCAAATAAGAATATTCAAAAAGTATATCTACACTTCCATTATCAAGGGGCATCTTAGGCAATCTCTAGATCTAAATCACTCTATTACTATACCAGTCGAGGCTTAACTATACCTGTTAAGTCATTCGGTTAAGACATTAAATCTTGATTCTTGTCCTTCAGGATTGATTGAAAGATTCACTATTTGACAAGTTATTTTAAATGTTTTTGCCTTCAACCTGAGCTCCAAGTGACTGAATATCATTGAATTTAATTTTTAGAATGTTTTCCCACTAAAACTAAGACATTTAAATTAATCAAAATGATCAGAATAGCTCTTGACTTATGCTCAATAGAAAAAGAGGAGTGCCTGGGTGGCTCAGTCAGTTAAGCATCTAACATCAGCTCAGGTCATGATCTCACAGCTCCTGAGCTCAAATCCCAAATCTCTGTGCTGACAGCTGAGAGCCTAGAGCCTGGTTCTGATTCTGTCTCCCTGCCTCTCAGCCCCTCCCCCACTCATGCTCTATCTCTGTCTCTCAAAAACAATAAACATTTTTTAAAAATTGTTTAAAAGAAAAATAAATAAATAAGCACAACCTAGTCACGACCTGTAATGTGTCTTTGACTAAATTAAATAGGCACCACCACAGGGGTGACTCTCTTAGACTTAAACTTGATATTAATAAACTCTCTTAGACTTAAACTTGAATCCATTTAAACTAAGCTTAAGTAATAATATGTGGTAAAGTTACCTCCAAGTTAAGTTGCTTCCAATTGCTGGAGGAAGTCATAGGCCCAATTCTGTCTTAAATTCTTCCTTAAGCCTTCTAATTTATCCTTTGAAAGTTTCAAGCTTTTACATAGCTGCTTTCTTGGCTTTTCCTGCATTCACTCTGTTCTAACTTCATTGCTCATTTATCATGAAAATAACCTACGTGATCTTAATGCTTATCAAAGTGTATTTCAGTCCCCTGCTTACAGCATTAGACATATTATAACTCGTGTGACATTTTGTCTTTAATGAACTTTTAGTAATCAGCAGCAATATTGCAGCTTAGAGCCCTGAAGCGGGAGAAACAAACTGTACAAATCCTGAAACTAATGGAACGGGTCAAGTCATCTCATTAAACACTAACGTAAGCAATATAGTAACTTTTCCACTGCTGTTTAACTAGTTCTTTTCTTTCTTTGACCAATTTTCCAAGATGTGAAAGGATATTCTGCAAGTAGATGTATGAATTTTTGAACCAGAAGATTTATAATGCCACCTGAGCAGCAGTTAATCATTGTTAGCCACATTGTATTTCCAGTGGTGCCCATTCAGTTCCTCTCTGTACCATCTAGGATGGGCAAAGTGGTTCCACAGTTTCGAGAATCCCCCTTGGTTACAGAGGCTTTAGCGAGATGGCACCTGAGGGAATGTTATGATTTAGGCATTTTAATCTCTGTCTTGACTTGCCTTTTTCAGGAGCACTAAATATACTACTTTCTTACTCATTATCTCACTGTAAGATAATAAAACATACTGGTTCTTAAGATATGTTAATATGGTAATCATTTGTTTAAATTACATCAAATGTCACCTATATATGAGTTTGCATATTTTTAGAACTAACTACTAGGCACATGTTTTGTACTTCTGAAAGTAAGGATACTCCATGGCTTGAAACGATATTACCATGACTAATTGTCCCACACATCAAATGTGCAATATATACTACAGATTTATTATAAGTTCCTCTTTTAAAAAATCTGCGTCTGTGCCACCAGGGCCAATGTTATATACACAGGTGAAAATAGGCAGCTATTTTGGGGTGATGAAGCAGCACAGAAAAGACCTGCCTGCCGAAACGTAGTTTTCCTCCAGGCTGCCATAGGGATAGACACTATCTTCAGGTTTTTCTATCAAAATCAACGTAGGAGCGGGTAATATACCAGAATCACTTTTTCCTGTATGAACCATTAATGCCCATTATTCCTCCAGAATCTAGAACCATGAAGGGACGGAACACAGCGAGCGATATTCTGAAAGGCTGAAGATGATATGAAGTGAGACATGGTGTCTGTGTGGTGGGGGGTGGGGCGGCTGGGAGGGAGAACACCAAGTAGCCCAGGGCAGCTTGAGGGTGGAAGCCTCCCCGGGAAGAAAATCGGGACTTCAGCAAAAGATACATTTGTTTCCAAACTGGCCTGGGGCTGGACCGCTGAGCCACGCGTGAGAAACTAGCATAGTCCTTTATTTTCTGGAGAAAGCCAAGTTTTGCATGTGAGCTCTTCTGAGGCACTTTGCTGTGGCATAGAAAAGACAGAATAACTTCGCAGGCTTCAGTGCTACTGAGGCAAAAACTTGTGCATTTTCCCATGTTACATAAGCCATATAGTTCGATAAACACTGGTTCGTCTGCTAAATAAGTGCTGAAAATGAAAACCTATTATCATTGTAAACTGCTGTGTAAATACAAATTCTTTTTACTGTGAGTTCAGAGCTTAAATAAAAATCAAGCCATCATTCTTTTTCTGATAATTGTCCCTAACATTTTGCCAGTGACCACTTTATAAAGGAATCACATCCAAATGCTGCATCGTTTAATCAAATTTCGTTGCGTTTTAAATGAACGAGGACAAAGACGACACATTAGGACATGTGACAGAGCTCACTTCTAGGCTTCTTCCATTTCTAATGTACCTCTAAACTTTATCCCTTTTATGCAGATTGCTTTATTCAACACATGCTATTGTAACAGCATATAAAGGGTTTTCCTGACAAGGTACTGCTCCACAAATAAAAAAATAAAAGTGATGCCTCCATGTTTTTATCATATTCCCATTTATACATTTTATCATAGGCAATAGAGAAAGGTTCAAGGACTTTAGAATAAATTTTAGAACATTAAGTTCAGTAATTATTTTGCTTTAGATTGTTAAGCATATATTAGAATTGTATTACTTCTCATAAAATGTTTGTGTTTTCACTAAAATCATTGGCCTTTTGTAAATTAGCCAGAGCAAATAATAAAGGAATATCCTTCAGACTGAGACAAAAGACCTTGATAAAAATAACTGATATCTTGGCTCTCTAACCATATTATTCTAGGGTCTTAATATTAAAGAGCTCTCATAATTGGCAATTGAAAAGCTCTTCGTTAGTTTCTCTAAAAATAAGAGTTTTTAATCTCTTCTTGCAGGGTAGGAGAGCCTTATGATTTAAATATATTTTGGAAATCTGTTTCAACAGTTAAATCGAAAATGTCTGATATTTTCAATTACTTAAAACATTTATGATTTTAAGCTCCCAGCAGAAATCTGCTGCTGAAGGGGGAAAAAAAAAAATTAAGAGCTGTTAGTCAGAAAGACGCTTATGTAAGAACTGTGACATTGGTCATTGCTTTGAAAGCAGGAAGTCCTATATTTTAGACTCAAGGCTCTAAGGAATCTTTATTGAGCAGCCCCCCACCCCTCGGAGCTGAGACAAATGGCTGATGAGTGAAATCTTGAGAAATGCTCACAGCTTTTCTCCTTCATTCTGTTACAGCCCGGAAGATGGTGAGATCCATCCAGAAATCTGTCGGCTTTATATCCAGCTGCAGTGTTGCTTAGAAATGTACACAACAGAGATGCTCAAATCCATATGTCTGCTGGGGTCTCTTCAGTTTCATCGAAAAGGTATCTGCATTTAGTGTACTGGCATAAACACTGAGGAATGTGAAACAAAAGCTAATCTTTCCTGAAGGCCCCTATGTACCCTATGTCTATCTACACACAATTAGAATGGATGTAAATTTTCAGGGGATGTTTGAGATAAATTAATCAAAGAAGTCTATACCAATACTAAGCACATAAGAACACTGATCATCTTGAACAGAAATTGTGGTAGAAACTGTTCTCAAATGTATCATTTTACCACTTGTGAACATGACTTCGGTTACAATCAGCGTGGGGAGTAAAAATATGTAACAATCTTACTAGGGGTAAATGCCATCCAAGACTGCTGCTATCTCCCTAAATGAATTTGGCTGCAAGAAGACAAATTATATATTATGTCTCAAAGATTCAAAAATAGGGGGAAATCAACCAACAATAGGGAGGCATACGGATAACAGAAAAATCTCATTCCTTGACTTAAATTATAAAGAATACATTGGCTAAAAGGACTGGAACTTCCAGAGGTGCCCATGACTTTAGTGTGGTTTGATCAGACTTTTGACTCACATTCTGGATGATCCCCTCTGCAATCCCCTGGGTGTTGGCTTTACCCTCACACTGCTTTCTCCCACATCAGCGAACTGATTCCAACAGTTCTAGCCATCACATCTGCATATGAAAATATCCATAAAGAGACTGTCCCCCCACTACAGACTAGAAAATGTCCTGAGCTTCATTCTGATTGCATCAGGTTGGACCATGGGTCTATACCTGAACCAATCACTGTGGCCAGAGGGATGGTTTTATATGGACTGATTTAAGCAATCAAGGCCCATTCCTGGAACCTCGAGAGGAGGTTCAACCAGTGGCCATTACATGATGGGAGCAGGTGGAATGGAAGAGATGCTGGGTTGGAAATAAAAAGTTTCTGTTAGTGGAGGATTCCAGCTATATTTTCTTTACTCATTCAGTGAACAGATAATTTATTGGAAATCTCCTAAAGGCAACCATTTTATGCTTGAGCTCAAAAGAAGAGGATGATGTGAAGAAGGCAATGCTTGTCTGCGATTTAAATTCAGAGAGAGTAAACCCTGTAATATCCAGGGAAAATCTTATAGGAAGGATAGGGCTTGAGCTGGGCTGTGAAGATAGGGTTCAAGTAGAGAAGGAAAAACAAGGACCTTGCAGTTCACATAGAGACTTGAAATCAAATGAGGATGCAGTTTGGGGGGGGGGGGGGGGAACTAAATGACATGACAGAGTACTTCTAAAAATCAAATCTTGTGTATACGCTATACATGCACAAGGCATCCTAAAAATAGGATGATGCTCCACTGCTCCAGAGGAAGGAAAACATTTTTTTGAAACATGAATATTACTTTTTTTTCCTTTCTCCTTCTAAAAGCTAACCGTTCAACAATTTCCTTCAGTATTTCTGTTATTAATGCAAGTGAACATGTTTAGAGAGATTAGCTCCCAGACGCTCTTGATGCCTGATCATAAACTGAACGCTCACACACACTGATGACATTCAAGCAAGTTGTCACTGGCCCGATGTCTTCATTTATCCTGTCTGCTCCCTCGCTCCCTCGTGCTCTCTCTCTTTCACACACATACATGCGCAGATGCACGCATCCTTACATTAAACTCACATGCAGAGTAGCGTTTTCATTGTCTTTAATCATGGTTGAACACAATAGGTATGGGTGGTTTTTTCCTGAGGTCTGCTTTGGCTGCTCTTGCAGTATTTTATTTCATGAACACGTTGCTACTGGAATCTCCCTAGTTGATGACATGTCCTTAACACCCAGTGACCCCCACCCCCACTCTCGCTCTAAGTCCTCTGTGCCACCTGGTCTTCTGCCATCTACTCCTACTCTCTTTTCACAGCTGGCTTTTGAAAGAAAGGCTCTTCTCAACAAGCTCTCTGTTTAAAAGTAAAAGGGATTCCCTCATCCAGGTTTTTTCCTTATTGTATTTGGAAATACTGTATTGTCCTGAGCACACAAATAAAAAAATGCATCGCCTCTTAACTGATCAGCTCATTTGGTCTTCGGTGCCTCCTGTCTTCATTGTCAGTCTCTGATTTCCTTCCTTCCCTGCTCCTTGTTCTAAAAATAATAACCCCCTGCTCCCTACCCTAGCACCTAGCCTTCCATGTACAACACTAAAAAGAATCTGCCTGATAGTGTCTTTGATTTCTCTGACATGTACGATTAAGACTCACTTGGACATCTATTTTATTCTTCTTATTTAAAGTGTAAATTGTTAGAAAATCTGCTTCAAAATTATCCAGGATTCTGACTACACTTGCAGCCTCATGGATCCTACCCTAGAACTACTGCATCGGAATCTCTGGGGGCCTTCCAGGTGATTCCAAAACACAGTGAAGATTGAAAGGTTTTATTCTACCCTTTGAAACAAAAGGAAATCACCCCACTATATGAATAAAAACTAATACGTCCAAGTCTTTACCTTGCCATTCTCTATCCACCTAAGTATATGCTTTCAACTCTGTCCTATACGTTCTTCTTCATCATCCAAGCAGATAAAAAGCAAATACAAAAGTAGTAGGTACCTCTGATGAGCACAAGCTGTGTGCTTTCCCCACAAGCCCTTGATATGACCACTCAAGTAAAGCTGTGGTGTTCAAAGTGTAGTCTCCGCACTAGCAACAGCAGTATCGCTTGTTAGAAATGCAAATTCTTGGGCCCCAACCTAGATCTATGGAATCGGAAGCTCCCCTGACTATACTTTTTTCCTGCTTGAAGAAAATTAAAAGAACAATTCATCGAGACATTTCTTCAACTGCATATTCTTGTAACCCTCTGTAACCTTCTGTAATCACCATCTGTAATCAGCAACCCATACTTCTACCCCTGGCAAGCCTCCCGTGTTTCCAGAAAACACATCCAAGAGCTAATTGTCTTATGGATTGTTACCTCTGTCTAAGCACCAGGGGAGATAAGGCAATGAGGACAAAGAGGTTTTCTTAGTGAGAAATCTCCAAACTAGGAGTAAAGAAATTAGTCTTGCTTAAAGTTAAAAAACCTGGGGCACCTGAATGGCTCAGTCAGTTAAATGTCCGACTTTGGGGCCGCCTGGGTGGCTTAGTCGGTTAAGCGTCCGACTTTCGCTTAGGTCATGATCTCGCGGTTCGTGGGTTCGAGCCCCGCATCGGGCTCTGTGCTGACTGCCGGCTCAGAGCCTGGAGCCTGTTTCAATCTGTGACTCCCTCTCTCTCTCTGACCCTCCCCTGCTCATGCTGTCTCTCTCTCTCTCTCCTAGAAAAAAAAAAAAAAAAAAAAAAAACATTAAAAAAAAGAAATGTCCGACTTTGGCTCAAGCCATGATCTCACGTTGGTGAGTTAGAGCCCTGCATCAGGCTTACTCCTGTCAACATTGAGCCCACTTCAGATGCTCTGTTTCCCTCTCTCTGCCCCTCCCTCCACCACTCTTGCCGCACCCTACCACCCCTCACTTCCCTGCCTGTGCGCATACTCACTCTCTCAAAAATAAATAAACCTTAAAAAAATAATAACGAGTAAACTTGAAAAACTACATAGAAAATGGAAGTAAGTAAGTAGAAGTAGGTGCCAAGGAAAGTGTCATTAAACCAGAGAAAATAAAGCACTAGAAAACATGTATGAAAATACACACTTGACAAATACCCAGAAAATTTCTGGAATGCCAAGGAAAATACTAGCTCTTGGAAAAGGGATGTTTCCATTAAAGAAATCTTTTCTAATTTTTCTAGTCCTATTTTTGTGTTACACTTCATGTGTATTTCTTTATTCTGCCCATTAACGTCCTCGTTACACCTAAGAGATTAGCCCTATAATTACTGTTTCCAAGTCCTGGCTTGTTTGTTACTGTTCACTAATTTATAGTCCCACCATCAGTACGGCATAGAAACTATCAGTCGATGTCATTAGCTTTTCTTTTTTCTTTCTTTGGTATCATTGGAAACTGGAGAGTAACCTGTGTCCAGAAGCCTCCAGTTAGTAAACAATAAGTATATGAAATGTGCTGCTAACAATCTGGAAGGCTGTGACTAAAAAGATGAGAAATACTTGACTCCAGTGACCATAGACTGCCAGAAATGACTGGAAGATATACGTCCAGGGAAAGTGGATTGGCTCAGTCTGTAGAGCATGCAACTCTCGATTCCTGGATTGTAAATTCAAGCCCCACACCGGGTGTAGAGATTGCCTAAAAATAAAAGCTTAAAAACAGAAGGAAGAAATATGTCCATAGACCATAGCACAGGAGAATGAAACTTTAAGAGTTGGGCAAATTAAGAGATATAACGTGCATCTTGTCCTGGAAATGTACAGCCCCTACTCATAAAAGTAGACAGAGGGGAGTCACCAAGCCTACAGTCTTACTGCATGAGAACAAGAAATGGGGAAGGGATAGGGGAGAAGACTCTGCCAATGTGACTTGCTAAGAAATGGAGCCAGGATATGTGATTAAGGGAGAGTATGTAAAGAATTTAAATGAGCAATGGAATGGATCCTGCAGTATAGGCCATTCCAAACTTCAGGGAAGGTTGTAGAAGTGACAGAGGGAAGTGTGGATCAAGGAACCAGCCCCCTTTCCCCAGGATCTATACAAATCTGTCTACCAAGATTGAAGATGCTAGATAACATATTCTTTATCCAAAAGCAATAGTATCTCTGGTGTGGCCTCAGGCTAGGAAAGTGGCCTGTCTAGAAAAATCTCACTAAGTCCCTTTATCCAAGAAATCAATAGTCCATGGAACCTTTGGAATAGTGACTCCCATTCTAGTCTGTTACACTCAAATATCTTTCTGCTTAGAGTTTATTTCTGGTATGTTTCTTCTAATGTTTGATAAAAGTTGATGTTTGGATAACTTCTGGTTAGTTAATTTCTTCTCCCTCTACGTGAGTGTTACTGCTCAGCCATTCCCCTCTTATTCACTATTTCTTTTCCATCACAGAAAAGGAAGGAATTGTAACTGAATCAAGTTTGGCTCTATAGCAGAGTCTCTGATCAAT